AGGTATATAATTGATGTAGGCACAATTTGTCAGCAATGTATAATTTTACTTGATATAACGTGCAACTGCAATTTTCATGTTATCTTGTTATTGTTAATGCTTCTGAGGGATAAGGCTATTTCCAGAATTACAAAGAGCTGAAACAATGTACATCGCATAAGATATATACTCGGCTAACATAATCAGTGACATATATATACCTCGTCGATAGTTCCTCGAAAATATGTAAAATTATCCCTTCCAATGAACATTGTCAAGTCAGTTGAATTAGCATATAACGAGGGCTGAATGATAAAAAGAAAGCAATAATGAATGGTTATTTAGTATAGATCTATCAAATAATTCCAAAAGTTATCTGTTTACTGATCTTAAAATGAAGTTAGATTAATTTTTATCTAACATGTTTTTGTGACTTGAGCAGGCTAACATTAATTCCTATATTGCTTATCTCAATGTTGAAAGTTATGTATGCCATATAATGACATATTTATCCAACCATTTTATGCAAATAATTGCCGCTTTAAATTAACTTCTAAGGGAAACAGACATAACATCAATATGTATTAATTAACTTAAAAATAAGCAACATGTATTGGTATGTCTTATTATTAGCAGAAATGATTTGTTTTATATTATCATATTCTATTCAAGTTTAATGCAGGAATACATAATTATACCAAGTCCAAGATAGTCACGCCAGTTGTTTCTCCAGATTTCGTGCCGTCAATGAAGATGGAAATAGTCTCATCTATTAAAAGTGTTATAATTTGAAAAAATACGGACATCAATATTCAGTATACATTTTTATTTTGAAAACAACACTTATTACAGAGACTGTAAATATTCCATTACAATTGAACAGTAAAAACAATGTACGATTGAACGTACGGAATTTAAAGCCACAGTAGTCTTCGATCTACAATCATGCAGTTTACCAAAAACTATTTTTAAAAGCAATTACAATTAAAAACAAAATAAGTAAACTTTACAATGTCATTTTGTTCAGTTGCATTTCTTAAATTCGTTAGGGCACGGGATTCGTTATTTGAATATTTAGATAAGCATATTGTAAATATATTATAAGATAGATTTATTTATTCTTACCCTCTATCCTATGTCTAAAGATGACATTATACCATTGGTCTGCTGACAATGAAGTTGATGACGTCACAGTGAAATCTCCATAGCGGCCAACCACGTTTCCTGATTCTATGGACATACAGACAGTGCCTTCAGCAGTACAGAATATGGGATATGGACCGAATGTGTAACCAGTATCCAATGATAACCACGTTTCTATAGTGAAGCTGAAATAGTTACTAACTTTATCAAGCCAGCATGATTATGAGGCATGTATGTGATATTATGATGATATCTCACGGATGACGCTGTGTAATACAAAATGTGGAAATGTTAAAGGAAAATTGTATAGTTAATCATAATAAAATTGCAAATCATTTTGATTGTTAAACTCTTACTTAGACAATATAATACAACTTTTTATGCAATCAGGGGCTCAGGAGAGGTGGTCGAACTCGGCATCATATGTTGGACTAGTTAACATTACCTGATCCTGGTCTATAACATATTCATCTTTTCAAAAGATGTAATGGTTAAGTAGCAGTAATTAACTTTTACTTATACAAAATTTATTTTTGGTTGTAAAGGATGTATGGTTACAATGCTCGACGAATGTATCTTGTTTTAACATAACATGCTGCTGTTTGTCTTCAAATACCTTTGCTATGTTCCTCGACACAGCTGGTGCCTTTGATAATGTTAGACATAATGGGCTATTCATAAAATTAAAAAACTTTGGAATTCATGGAAGATTTTTAAGAATGCTCATAAATAGTTACACTGGCTTAACCGGACACATCATAGTCAACGGAATCTTGTCTGAAAGCTTTAAAATACAACAAAGTATTCGTCAAGGAGGAATATTGTCGACATGGCTGTATCTCCTTTTTGTAGACGAACTTCTTCAGTCATTACAGTTAAGTGGTCATGGAACGGTTATTGAATCTATGAGAAGTGGTAACCCAACACTAGCCGACGATATCGTTATTCTGTCGCCAAACATTAAATCTCTTGAACACCAGTTGAATATAGCGAACAAATATGCATTTAAATGGGGATATGAATTCAATGACAGTACATACAAATAAATGCACTTTGGTAATTCTGGCAGACATGCGTTTAAAAATATAAAATATTAATTATTAAATATCTAATAAATAAAAATATTAATTTCGGAAGTGCTTCCCTAAGTCCGGTGGACTCGGTTACTCACGCCGGCATTGAACTACACAAATCGTAAAAATGTTCAAGTGCTGTGGAAGCGCGTATCCGAAAAGGCCGCTCATCTTTATTTTCTTTTCTATCTATCGACGAGACTCCTGTCGACGCGAATCCCTTAGTTTTAGCCTCTTTCATGAAAAAAGATACATTTCCAACTGCCTTTACGGAGCGGAATTATGGAATGATTTGTCAGATACTGATATCCTTATGACGGAAAGGTTACCAAATGCATTTAACACTTTCCAAGAAGAACACGAACTGATATGGCTCTAACATGTTTAAGCATGCTTAGATGGTTACCTGCTTTAGCAGAAATTGACAAACGAAAGCTTAATTTCCTGCAGAAAGTCTGCACAATGCCGTCAACTTTATTGACAAGAAAAATATTTAATTTCAGATTACACCTATATGCAAACAGACAGTTTAGTGGACAAAGTGGATATATACCTGACGCCTGTAGAATTCTAAGAAAATATAACCTTTTCCATATTATTGAATCCTACTTACAAACAGCAATCTTTCCTGACACGTTACAACGGAAACGAACAGTTTTTAACGCTATACGCAAATATCATACACAGCATTGGTCAGAAAGAATGAATAGCGATGATGATTTTGTGCGCTTCAAAGCTTTACATACCGATATAAGCCCATCAATATTATGGAGAAATTCCGACTCTCTAAATTCAATAAAACATGCATTATGTACTGCTAAAGTTCTTGTTGAAGCAAAGCAAAGTGATGTAAAAACATGCAAGAAGTGTGGTTCTCAAACAAGTGACCTAAATCTCCATGTAATCTCAAATTGTATTTCACTTAAAAAGACTCGAACAACTTGCTTAGTGTTGAAAGACAATAAAGTCGTGAATTCAGTAACATTCTAAAAGGATGTGACATCGAGACGTTTTTAAGAACAATCTTAAATCCTCGTGTTTTGGATATATATGACATAGATGAATTTGTCCAAAAAGCCCTCATATAAAGTGCTTGTAAAATATACGATTGTTTAGTTTTTGATACCCAAACGCTTTATCTAAATAAACAAAAGTGCTTCAAATGACAGAAAATATTTAAGCGGTATTGCCTAATTTACATAGCTTATATTTCGTTTCGGTAAGATTTGTGATACTAGGCTGAATACTGAGCCATTTTAACTATATATAAAAAGTGAAATTGAAATATGAAATATGTATAAAACAAGTATATAAATGTGTATTATGTGTAGTAAATACTAATAAATTCAAATACAAAATTATCCACAATGTTCCAAGGAAATTCATTGTGCCATTCATTTTTTGTGCGATTCTAAATAAAAACACACTAAAACGCACTGTTACCAATGCACTTAGTATTTTTATTTTACGGTATTTGTGAAAGTTACTTGTGAAGCATATGAAACATCAATACTTCCTTTCCTTCTGTTATACTGTTACATAAACCAACAAATTTCGTTTAAGAATTTCCAAAAGTGCACAAGAAAGATTAAGAAGAATTGTTCAATACCTGTTTTCCATTCCAAGTGTTACAGCATCATTTAATTCAACGTAATCATCTACTCCGTCGAAGTATAAACCATGGTTGGTATGTTCTAGGCAGTCTACCTGTAGGTTTGACCAGATTACAGGAAATTCTCCAAATTGCAGAACGCCTACTCTACCACCCGTTATAGATGCTTCGTACAGGTCTCCGGAATCACAGATAAGATTAGTGCCTTGGTATATCTGCAAGCTAAATTATAAATACAGACATAGTATAAATATAGCAATAGTGTGTAACTAACGACTGTGCAAGATTTAAATGACTGTCATCTTATTCTATTATATTTCATACATTTTAATTATTTAAAAAAATGATAATTTGTTATTTGCTTACTAAAACTGGTAGTTGTTTTACAAAACGGGAACACAATCTACTCGTATATCATATACCACTTCATTTCACTTGTATTTGGCAAAATCTCGTTTGAACATTGTAGAAAATAGCTTCTTGTCAACTGCTAAAAGACATTTTTGTATATTCTTTAAAAAAGAACTTTAAAAACACCTAATATATCCAATTGATGGTCTATGCGTTAGGTACCATCTATATGAAGTAAGTGGTTCCCAACCATTCATATCCGGGTCTTGCCATATCATGGTCGTCTGCCCAGAAACAGAATAACTGTGCCACAAAGCCTGCGCAAGACTAGAACCTGGGCCAGTCGACGAATCTACCAACTAATAAAAAAGGCTTCAACTATTATAAACATTAATCTTGTTGTTACAAAAACCACCATGTATATTCATTGCATACAGGAGTAGTTTCATTAAAAAATCATTGTTGTTCTATCCGATTCAAAAATTTGAACATACCTGAATCATAACATGAATATTTATTGCAAACTTGCTAAAATATAACATTAAATCTTAATAATGATAATTAAAGATGTGTTTTCGATTACACTTTTTGAAACTTTTTTGTTACTAGTATAAATAGATAAATACATATAACTACAAAGTCATTGGTTATTCTATTTGTTTTTTTTCCATTGCATTGCAGCAAACTATTTTTATAAATTTCTCTAAAAGCTTTTTTGTTTAATATTTAAACTGAACAGTTTGTACGATGAAAGATAAATGATGAGGTTTATAACCTTTACCTTTATCTGTGCTCCTTGTATTCCTCCCTTGTATGTAGATGCCGAGTCTTCTTTATAATTATAGTGTTTGCCTTTCCACATCACAACGTAGAACTTCCTGTTATTTGCATAGCCGAACACAAAGCCGAAATACGCATCAGCATTCTTCGTGGTCAGTATACCAAGTCCCTCTATACTTGAATTGCGCCATAAGATTGGGTACCTGTAAAAAGATCACATAAACTTCCATTGGCAAAGTACAAATATCATGCTTTAATACTTTTCCCGTAACATTGTCAATTTATAGATACAAATGATTTTTCAAAGTTACATGTATATTTATAATAGCTCTCAAAGTTTATGAATTATTTAAATGCTCGTATCATTCTTTTAAATTGGCAGATAAAAAAAGATTGAATTCCTAGTTCATAATTTTTCATCTAGATAAATTCAAAAGTCATGCTGTCAATCAAGGTACTTTCACTACACGGCATACTGTCTAATATTGATGTGTCAGAAGATCGATTTGGAACTGATGCCTAATGTACTGTATTAGAAATAAAGTATAGCTAGAGCAACGGAGTGACATCATAGTAGTAATGGTAAAAATGTACCTATAAGCATCGTGGGCATCTCAGTATTAGTTGTCTGCATCACTTCACCTCCATTGTTCTTAACAAGCCAAACTGGGGTTGTCGTTGAAAGTGTAGGATATAAATCTACAGTAAAATAGTCTTTAAATGAGGATTCACGCAGTGCTAAATTATAAGGACATGAATCATTTTGATTATTGACTCCGTCAGCATCCAAGTCCAACTCGCATATATCACCCACGCGGTTTCCGTCATCATCAGTTTGATCTGCGTTACTATAAAACGGACAGTTGTCGTTATCATTATCAACGCCATCCCCGTCAATATCCGTGTCACATAAATCTCCTGCAAAATATTTTATTATAAAGATCTAAGACTGTTTCAGACAAAGCTATATAAACCTCACATAATAACATTTCGTAACTTTCATATTCATGATAATAAGAAAGAAGGAAGGAAATCTTAGACAAACTCTATATTTTCAATTACAAATATCATTATTAGATGAAATGTCAAAATAATTAATTAAAGAAATGGGTGTAGAAATTCAAATTCAGTAGTTCTACACCATAGTTAAAGCTGTGCGACATACCAGGCGATACTTTACGAGTTATGACTTTTCCACCAGATAATACGTTATATATTTCTTTTTCTTTTATGAAGTGTTTTATTATAAATTACTTTTATTCATGGATCAAAGAGAAACAAACCTATGCCGTCGTTATCTGTGTCGGCCTGATCGCCATTCATATAAGACGGACAATTATCGAATAAATCTGGTATACTGTCACCATCCCTGATATATAAAATATAGACACATTAAATGACAAAAGCAATCCATATGAAGTTTATCAATTGGACTTGCATCAATTTGGAATCAACAATTAAATGAAACGCGTTTCTTTAGTAAGCTTAGAATAATAAATTAACTATTTTATCATTGTTAAGGCAATCATTTCAGCATATGTATGTTACAGTGAAAATAAGCAAAATGTATATACATTTGCTAAATAAAAATGTAATAAAGAAGCATACAAAATCGTAATTTATTTTATGACAATGTTATAGTAGTATTACATCACTTACTCATCGATATTTGATGCACCAACAGCATCACAAGAATCACCATAGAAATTAGCATTTGAGTCTGTCTGTGCGGAGTTTGATGTACTAGGACAATTATCACAGGCGTCGCCAACACCATCACTGTCTGTGTCTTCTTGTCCAACATTGGCAACAAGCGGACAATTGTCAGAGCCATCAAGAATTCCTATGTTTATAAACAGAAAAAAAATAAGACGCAAGTATAACATATCACATTTATCACTCAAAAAATTCCGAGATTAAAATAATTATAGTGATTTACTTGAGAGTCCTTGAGTAAACGTATATCAAACTAAGTTTCATATCATACCTCTTGTCAGCTAATTTATCACCCTATAAATTATCAGATTAAACCATCTCAGCATTATTTTACGCCTATTATCATTCAAAAACCGATATATTTTAGTACTTTGCTCATAATGGAATTAATTATCTGAATAACTAATGTATGTATAGAAATTTATTAAATAGATTTCAAATGATTTCGTAATTTTTGTTTACAATAATATTTGCCTCAGCCGACTCTATGGTAGTTTAAACGCAACTGAGTGTAAACTATTTGCAGCGGATATGATAAACGTATAGGGAGCTATGATATGCATTTATGTGTGCACTGTATTATGATAGAGGAAACATATAGTCTTACCGTCATCATCGTCATCAGTATCGCATAAGTCACCTACTCCATCTCCGTCCGCATCAGCCTGGCTTATTGAGCTACCGTCATTAGGACAATTGTCACACGCGTCACCAACACCATCGCCGTCTGTATCCAGAAGGTCATTATTATCCACAAATTGGCAATTATCCTGTCGCAAATTTAGAGAGATAAATGATGAGTTGCCATACAATATAACATTCTATTTAACACGTTCAACAAACATATTAAAGTAAGATATAGAATTACTACAGTTTAGTAGGCATCAATATCAGTTATTACTGCCAGAGTTATTGGTTGAACTAGTTGACATGGGATTTTTATTACTTCCAAAACGCTCAAGGGGTTTAAAAAATACCTCATAATCATATCTGTTATCGCGGTCATCATTATCATCACAATTATCACCAAAGCCTAAACCATCTGTATCTTCCTGCATACTATTCGGAACGACTCCACAGTTATCCTTAAATGTGATACCATTTATTACATATATAAATGTATAAAGATGTCATTATTTTGTAGATTTTATTCACTGATCAAATTGACGAAACTTAGCTTAAAAAACAATAGATTACATGCAAATATAGCTAATTGAGTATGCTAATGAAACTTAAATTCAATTAAAATAAAAGCAATCCATTTTAAGCCAACGATTGTAAGGATTCTATAATGGAAATACAATTTTACTTAACGAAGAATTTATATTGTATTAAATACATGTTTATTTATTACACCCGACTTTGATGAACTTACTTTACGACATCCCCATTCTATACATGGTAGCCCGCTGTCAGGAAATCCATCCATATCAGTGTCAGGGCCACACTTATTACCGTTCCCTGCGTAACCCGGCTTACACTTTAAGATAAATTATCAGAAATATAATAATTCAGACATTTTTACATTTTCATCTTCTACTTTAAATGAATATTGGAAGGAAATTTATCTATCAAACTTTAATCAAAAGTGTTATCTTTCATATATATTACAATTTGTTTTTGCTTGTTTTCAAAATCAATATAATCACAAATTTAACATTTAGGTAGCTAAATTTACTATACCTATTCCATGCGTTTCTATTCATTCGGTACATAGTTTCAAATAATTTGTAAAATGATGATAGTTATGTCTGGATTGAAAAATGCGCAAGTCCATTTTAAGACATTAAGCGCGATAAGTGATAAGGAACATTTAAGCTACAAAGTTGTAATTGATAAAATATATATTGCAACTGGTCAATCAATGACAAATAATAAGGTGAAAGGAAATTAAAAGAAATTCATAAAATGTACGTTTAATGTAAGAATATGGACTTGTGAAAAGCTTCAAAAAACGTATTTCAGAGCAATGTTTTAAAAGTTCTAAAACTTTTTTTCCACATTCTTCGATATTAAATTACAGTTTTACTGTGTTTTTCCGTCCATGATAATTTAAAGGGTAAATTGCTCTCGACAAAATTTTGCTTATGCATTCAGAAAAACGGTCGTCTGAAATAGTGTACAGTCGGGTACCTGTAATCTTGAATGTATGCATATTGCATTTACAGCGTCGGTGTGTTCCCGACTCAAAATAGATAGATAAAATCTTGGATATCGTTAGAAAAGAAATAAAACCAAATTCACTAATCTTTTTTCTGACTTCACATTTTTGATATAATGGCACTGTACTTATCAATGTCTTGTTCCTTTTCGCTTTCGATGTAGTAAATGTTTTTAAATATCAATAAAGTCGAAGACACAGATAAAAAGTTCCTTGTCTACTTGACAGACACTGAAACAGTTCAGGGCTAACATTAATACCACTTTTTCATTAAACATACTTTTAGTGTAGTTACATACATTTAAATTAAAGAAATTCTTTCTACGCTTACCACACATTTGTACTGTGCAGGACCGAGATATACACAGTCAGCTAAATCTGTACAGTCATGGGCGCCAGATACACAAAAGTTGTCAAGGTAACAGCCACTCCTATTGGTCCCTATATATCCAACTGAACAAAAACCACAATAGTAGCTTCCCTGTGAAAATAACACATTCCTGGGTAATAAATTATATCTAAAACGCCGGTTCTAGCGGTGAAGGGCATGGTGATTGTTTTCTTCAATAAACAAGTAAAAAAAGCCTACAACTTTTGTCAATTCGCACTTTTTTGCCGAGCATAATAACATTCAAATGCTATGAGAAACAAAATATGTGTAGTTGTAAGGCCTACTATGTTGAAATTGTTTACTTTTTTACTATCTCAATAACACTGGATAGTTTTAATGAGAAATTTGGTAGTTATCCAAATAGATTGTCTTTACAAAGATTTATCTAGCAACGACTGACATAGCATTGGATTAATACATGCTGCTGGTTCATGTCCTTGATAAAACTCCAGAAGGGAGGCATTCTTGTTAAACTAATAAAAAAAACTAGCAACGTAACCCTAGATAAGTGTCTTTCTTCTCTTCAATGGGATGGTTTTATATTCTTTATTGATGTAAACGTTAAATTATTGTTGTAGTGTTTTCTAGATGTTTTTTTACTTACGATGGTATTGACACACTCCATGCGTGGATCACATCCGCCATTATCTGTTGCACATTCATCCACGTCCTCACATTCTTGGTATGTAAAGTTCGATTTGTCCAAATTCCGATATATAAATACACGCAAGTATTTATCGTGAGAGTAGGCATCTTCAAATGTCCCAGTATATCCTGTAGGGCATTCTAGACACTGATATCCCGGCTCAGTGTTGATGCAACGATCTTGGAAGCATGGCTGATAAACTGTACACTGAAAAAATAATTAAGAACTGAACATTTGAATTTAAAAATTGCAAAGCTCCTTGAGTGTCCTTATTAGAAAATGATAATATTAAAATGAAATGAAAGTGAAAACTTTCTTAACCTTTCGTTGGTATACATATTAAATAAAACATTTAGTTATTATAGTTAGTTTTTTTTTAAATAAATTATATGAAATATGATAAATAGGTGGTTGACCTCATCTACATCTGTACATGTTGTACCATCGCCCGTCAAACCCGCCTCGCAAGCTGTACATCCGTACCCTCCTGATCCTGATTAATACCAAAAACAAATATGTTCTAGGTTATGTTATATCTATTATAGAAGTTTTTGATCCGAACATTCAGCTATAATTCATTTAACACCTTTTTGTAGCACAACGACCAGTCGAAACAGGAAAAATTATCAGAGCATATAGCCATAGTGTATGTTTAAAAAATTGCTAAAAGGAAACAGTACATGTTCACATTATAGTAAATTAAGAGCTATGTTACTTTATACAGTAACAAAATTATTGGTATTGCTAGGCCATTTCGACAAGATCTAGGTCATTTCGGCCGTCTTCTTATTCGGTATTATTTAGAGGTTAATACTTGAGTGCTGCTCGCCATTATGCGATTATAGCCTGAAGATGTCCATGAAAATCTGAGGGCCGAACGACTGAACACGTGCAAGAGCCATAATCACAGTCTGATGTTGTAGAGTCATAAATCTAGCTAAATGCCATTGACCTTACATGTTTATTCGTCGCATCACATTATTTTTCAAATTTATGATATATTTGTGTTCAATACTGTTTAAACGCTAAATATATACCTGTATTGTAACAATAGGATTCAGAATAACACTTGTCGCCATCAAGACACGGACATTCAGTAGCATCAGCACATGCAATGCATTTTATTCCTGTACTATATTCTTCTGGTTCACATTTCTCGCACCCATCCATTCGTCTTGCACTATAATAGCCTGGGCTACAGCTTTTACAAGTGCTCTGACCTTCTAAATCTTGATAAAATCCTTCGTCACAGGATACACAATGCTCTAGAAATAAAGCAAAAACACTGTATTCATATAAGAATATCTCCCTATATGGATAAAAATCTAACGTATTTGTACCTCAAAACTTATTAGTTGTGCGAGCTTTCCTGTGAAATTTAATACCTAAACATTTGATGGCGTCTATCCTACACAGAATTTTTTTTCTATAGTATTTATAATTATAACAAATGCATAATCATAATTATTTATCACTATAATGATGATGATGATGATTATTATCATTATTATTATTATACTTCTGAACGTATCCCTTATATGTTTCATTATATCTATGAGTGTGAGAGTTTACTTTAAACATCTTTTTCAAGAAATACCTAAAGCCTAAATACTAAGGCTAGTGACATAATACCTTGAAATCCGTCTGAGTATGACCCCGGCAAACAAATTCTTCTAATCCCGAGATAGCAAGCATATCCTGGCTCACACTGGGTGCACGACGCCGGACATGACGTATTTGTGCACGTTTCATAGTGATATAAATCACACGGAGTTGCGTATCCATTTTCACATATCTACAAACAATCAATGGTAATTAGGCGTTTTAATCGTGTTTTCATGAATCGAAACAACCATTCAAAAATGAAGAGAAACGTTGCTATGTCAAATATCTATAAGTTTAAATTTTATTTTAATATTAATGATTACACACCAAGCAATTTATAAACATAAAATACAGAATAAAATCAGTTTACAGAAGTAATTACAGCGAACACATTTATAATATAATTATTTTATTCAGGCATTCCACTTCATTTATAGATTTAAATTTTGATCAATCTGAATCCAAAACAGTGAAAGGTGATGCTTTTTTACTAACTATTTTTTATGCATCGCGTGTTTGCGTCATCTATAAGAAACACATTATTGGACAAAAAGTTTGAAAGTTTCTTTTTGTCCTTGCCTCTGTCAATATGATAAATCTTACCTTTCAATATGACAATTAAACAAAACTGACAGTGATCTTTTGCTCAAAGAATTACATTCTTACTAAATGGTTATGCTTCATTAAATTATAACAATTATTCCTTTTCATTTTACTTAAGTTATCTTATTTCGAAAATAAGTCAAATGTGTGTTTGTTTTCTATTTGTAGAATCTCACTTTAACTTTCGCTGTTTGAAAAAAGCAGGAACATTTACCCATCCAGTCGGACAAGGTGAACATTCCGACTGTACTCCAAACGAATGTTCTACTGGGTTTTTATCACACGTGGCGTTAGCATCTTCACATCTACCACACAATTTCTGAACACCCTCACCTTCACAGTAATATGTAGTCTCACATCGTTGACAGCTCACGTCATCTTGATTTAAACAGATATAAACATTTCACAAAAACACATCTTTGTAAATGGTTTATGATCCCTTTGTCAGCAGTGAAAAAAAGACTGGATATTGGATCATACGACATACCATGTTAATTCCTTTTATTTATCTATTTTTTATTTGTTTCAGTACGTAATAATCATAAATAAATGTAAGAAATCTACACACACCGATATAACATTAAATGACACATTTAGTATTACATGTACATATATTTTAAACAAAATATTATATTAAGCAAAGTGCTGTTTTAACTATACATCAATTATCGTCAAATGTGCATAGCTTACAAAACAGTTGTTCTGCTTGTGGACAGCCCTCAAACTCTATCCTCATGGCGATATTCCCAGACCATGTTTGTGGGTTAACTCGTACTTTGTTACTCAGTATCACGGGGTCAAGGTCGTATCTTACAACAGTCGTTCTGTCAGTATTGCCAACAAAAGTCTAAAATAAACGTGTATATATCATGTTAAATATGTATTTGAGAATACCCTGTTAGAATGCAACTTTACAATTCATGATACTTTATTATTATTATATTATAATGATGTTTTCAATTGTTCAGGTTAAAATATAACTATCATATGAAAATCCAATTATGTCAAATAAAATATTTCATTCATCTCGTTTCATTTTTTATCTTAAGCATATCATATATGTAATAATATAGTTTCATTTATCTGATTTAATGTGTTAATAAGGTAAAAATTAATTTCTTTCTCAACTTTATGGCAATGCTTATTACATGTTCACACTTTTTAACATTTGATATTTGTTGCTTCTTTTTAATTATACGTGTACTTACATCGGATCCTAAAGCATCCGTATAAGTTGTCCAAACTGAAGTTTCCTCATCAAAATACAGTAACTTGAAAGATGTCACCCATTCATCAGCGTCCGATCTACCTTGTATATAAACCGCTGTATAACGATATGGCATGTTCATATCAACTTCAACATACTGGTTCGTGTCAAGAACGCCTGCAACCCATGCACCAGCTAAACGACTGTAAGTATCTGTTTGATAAAAATGCCATATTATTCGGCATTTTAAAAATTTTTATTTATGAAAAAATATAAACAAATCTCTTTGAAGTTACGCCGTTTTTAAAGATACCTTATCAAAATCACATATTTCAGAGTGGTGGCATGGCCGAGTGGTTAACGCCTCGTAATCTAAGAACAGAATTGCTGACCGCGTGGAATCTTACCCTGTCATGGACAATTTAAGCCGTTGTGTCCTTGAACAAGACTTTACATTCATTGCTTAGTACTGGTTGGTTTCAGAAACAGATTCGACAGTCTTTCAATAAGCTTACAGCACAATGAACTGAAATAAATTTGTATGAACTAAACTAAATCACAGATTTAATTGAGTAAATAAATGAAAGATAATATTTTTTCAAATGTAGTACTTTATGACCGAACGTATTAGACAAGCCTTCATACTTTCAATATGATTGACTCGAGCTCTCCCGGCGTGAGTTGAATCCGGATTAGAAACTGTCGAAGCTGACAACATGTTATCTAACACTGTACCAGTTGTAAGTCCAATTACGTCATCACATTCTGAATCAATAAAATATAGTTATCAGAAAATGCAACAACCATACTAAGTAAAAATTTGTTTTCATCACTTATCTTAAACATGATAACTGACTAATTTTAATCCATTAGTATATTTTATATGTGTTATTAAAGTGATGTAATTGTGACCAGAAAACGAAATATGAATAACATCATTAAAACTGTTTTAAGTGGGCTTGAAATAGCTGAGATTTTGTGTTTCGATTTGCTTAGAGTAGTGATTGCGCAAGCAAAAGCAGACATTCATAAAATATCTATAAATCAAAATTTGTACTTGACGTTTTATTTGCGATAGCAGATAACGTTATTTTAGACAAAAACATTAAAAATGCTATCTTGACAACATCTTTGAGGCAGTTAATGATAAAATCTTATGATACTCACTAAATTCATACATCCAGTATCCAGGTATTCTCAATGTCATTTCTCCTGTTGTGTCATTGACATGAAACATGTACCTGATCTTCCCGAAAAATACATCTAAAACACAAGTGTTGCTCACGGTGATATTTATAGCAGCGGTCATTCCAAACGGTACAGTACCATTGTCCATTGCAATTACATTAAATAACAGTGACGTATATTCTATATATACTACACCCCAGAGATCTTCCGAGCCGTCGTAATTCGCAGGTGGGCTAATAAATTCAGTAAAAGAGCAGTAAACTTAAAACGAAATAACATACTACTTGATTTTAAAACAATTAAACATATCAGATTACTAATGAGCGATGGGAAATTAAAATGGTCTGAAATAAGTAATAATTTGTGATCAAATATTGTTTTTTTATTACAAAGTTTCAATGTTCATGTGATATTGTTGTTTAATTGTAACCGAGGGTATGCCCCATTTTCAGATTATCAAACAGAAAATTAATCATGAGTACTGAGACGAAACAAAACAAAGTTGACATTAGACATTCATCAAGATATTGTTTTTAGTTGCAACTAGGACTATCATTCTTTAAATCTTCTGCTCTAACTTACTCCTCAGTAACACTGGAAACAACATAATGGATATTAGAATTTTCACCACTGTCTGCATCTGATACATTAAATGTTGTAAACGCTGGTTCTCGTAACACTGGTTCAGGAGTCAAGGAAAATGATGTCGGAGATAAAATTGGACAATTATCATTCACATCAACAATGATGATCTAAAAAAATAGAAAAACAACACACAGTTATCATGTTTATAAGATATGTTTTCGATATTGTCTTGTTTCAATCAAACCGAGCCTGCAACATTTCCGTTTTTGTTGTGTTGGGCTTCCTATAGGGATTCTGTTTTTTCTCCATTTTGTTGAGTCAGCATTGTGTCATATTTATAATATATAATCAAAATATAGCATCATTTGCTATCTGTTTTCAAGAACAGACCAAGTAAATAAATGTGTTACTTGTAATAATCTGGTTCGTATATTTTAATATCTTACACATTGTGTATAATAACAGTTATCAAAAGAAAATGGCCGTCCGTGCCCATCACAGCATTGGGTTCGAATCCCAACAGTGACTTTGGATTCTATCATGTGAGGAAGCTATCCAGCTAGCTAACGGGTTGTCGGTGGTTCTGCTCAGGTACCTGTTCGTGCCTGACATAGTTTCACACCATTCCTTGATTTGGCTACGTCCTGATATTTTATATATTTAATAAATGTAAATGAAACTAGCAGAAAATAAAATTAAAGACATACTGTCAATATTAGTACCACTTGAATTTCCCTAAGTACCTCCTTTTAAAAAGTGAATTGAATTTACCTGAACCACAGTGAATGAAAGGACAAGACTCACAGTCTTTTCTATTAGGCTTTAAAGAGTTTAGCAATTTACAACTATTTTTATTAAAATTCATATTAAAAATGATTCTGCTAGATCTAAAACAAGATTTCAGGCCAATCATTGAATAACAATTTCAATATAAAAAAATAAGTCATATAAATTAGTCGTGTCGAATAAGGTTTACCAATGGAAAGTAAATAGCCTTCACACAGAAAATCGTAACAGCAAATTATAATTTAATACATGCAGATCTATAAAAATGAATACGATTACCCGCACAGCTATGTAGCCTGTCAAAGGTTTACCGTCATCAATTACAGATAACAAAAGGTAGTACTCTTTCGTGACTTCATAATCTAACTCGTCTGCAAGCGAAACGAAGAGTGACGTCGTAGATACCGAAAACAATTCTGTTGACGCGTCGTTAGCCATGGATACTAGAGGTGAAGCGGCACTGCATTCTGTCAAATATATGTTCATGAAGAAGTTATGAGCTCTTTACTGACAATGTTATGATCCTTGGGATTTACTAACGTTAATAATGATATCAGATATCAATTGAAGAAATAAGAATAGTGCAAATTTTGTTTATTATAATATCGCGTCCATTTGTTTCTGAAGTCTGCCCATAACAAGGAAATTTATGCAGAATATTTTCTTTCTATGCCAATGATAAATGTGTTGATACAAAGGAATAACCATTGACCGCGTTACAATCTTTCCTAGAAAATATGTCAACATATACAGTTTTTACTGGTATTTAGCTTATAATTATTAAGTTTACAGACCAACAAAACTGACAATGATATACATAAGCTCATACTAAGTATACATACAAACATCGGTGAACGTGTTATACGTTATTTCATACTGAGAAATATACCTACATAACTGACAGAATTATAAATCAACAAAATCGATAGTGAAAAGATAAGCTTATACTGAGAATATAAAACAAAATAACTGTCCATAAAGTAACATAACCAACAGTGTAAAACATTAGCTCATACTGAGTGCACATACCGACATAACTGACAGTGTTTCCCTCTATATCTGTAATTGTTGTATAATTTGGCGCTGGTACAGAAGATGCAGTAAATGTGTATGAAGCTGGTTGAATTGTAAACCGACGCCCCTCATTTCCTGTCAAAACGGAGGTAGGTAAAATGTCATCAATTCGACAAGAAAATTTAAAGAAGATATAGAAACTGTTTTAAAAAGAAGATGTCAGTAAAAGTAACGCATTCTTTTGAAAAGAAATATTCTATGATTAAAAGCAACATATCAGCTGATTCAGTTAAACAATATATTGGTACAGAAAAAGAAAACATATTTAATCGAAAAAGAGCCATATATTGCCAAACTGATGATCTCATACGTAAGATGAATATATAAACATCAAGGGTTTAAACGTTTCAAATAATATTTTAATGGTTACTTGAAAAAGAGGTTTACCAAGAAAAGTTTACCAAAATGTGACAATGATTTGAACGTAAATATCAATGTCCTCCCAGTATGTTTATATGCAAAGCCAAACTAATAGAGAAAGCCTTTAACAAAGACGGTAACATTAATTACAGTATAGCTGCAGGTGTTCTCAACAATTTCCTAAATGTCTGTCTGATCGAATACAATGATATTAAATGTAAAATGAGAGAAATATAAGTCAAACTGAAAACATGTTCTTTGCCAATAAAACTGTTATTTGATGTATTCTCATCTTTTCTTTAACAAAATATATCCCAATTCGTGTATCTTGACATGGGTTTTACCTTTATATAACGAAATACTGTAGGAGCCAGTTGAGAAGTCGTCTATAAGATTAACTTCCGCTAGGATTTCTCCTATCTGCGCATCTTCGTTCCACGAGACCGAATAATCAATAGGAAGGTCAACAGTTTTGTCTAGGCTGAAGGTCGTATCTTCTACTTCAAATAGTAACTCTGAGTTACAGCGTCGTGTTTCAGCATGGAAGATGTCCATATGATACGTTACGCCGATCTGTAAAATAAGTATATGTGAATAAGTTATTATCTTTTTATGATAATATAAATTATTACTAGCCTAACCGCCAATTGAAACGTTCCTCCATCCACAAACTTGCAGAGTATCTTCATACCGAGTCTAAGCATTGAAGCAAAGATTTAGATATATAAAGCACAGGGTTCAAACTTTGTACAAATCAAGTCGTTCACATTTGATATAATGTTACTGGTAGATTATAATATATAATTCAATTCAAACGTAAGTGTTGAGTTTACCAAATTTCTCAGTTATGAATGTTTTATATTTTGTTAATAAATTAGAAACCCAGTCCTCTGTAATCTTATGTTTTGTAGATTTAGTTAGCGTTGTTGTTTTTGTTGTTGTTGTTTCGATGAACTTATCCTGATGGTATTCATAAACGTGAGTACCTTCGTTGTTTTCTTGATTCTTGAAGTGTCTTAATCAATACAACCTCTAAGGTAATGTCAACAAATTATGGAATTTTACCTCCAATGGAAGACTTATATTAGTTGCTGCTGACAAACTTGTACATGACTCTCCAGATAAAGTTCCTTCTTGCAAGTGAGCTATGCCATCTAGAAAGGTAAAGATATAAATGCGAAATCTGAATACAATAACACCTTTAACTAAATTTATAAAATTGAAGAAAAAAATATTGATAAATTGTACCGTTCGTTCTCTGAGTATCTCATGAACAAAAATATTAAAAGTGATAAAATTCAAACAAGTAACTGCGTCCTTCAATCGCCAGTTAAGACAAAAAGAACAGTTATGCCATGGTGTAAAAAGGCTTCTGACACTCTAGCGCCTTCTTATATGTCAGCCATTTAACCGCCTCCGTGTTCGAGGGGTTAGAGTCGATGACTTCTAATCCAGTTACCTCTCTGGCATGGGTTCGATCCCCGGGAGATGCTTTGGTAGTTTAGCGCGGAGAAAGGTAGTTTAGTACTGGTGTAACTCTCCAGGAACGATGGTTAGGAAACTACCCGCCTATATGACTGAAATACTGTTGGGAAAAGGACTTAAATGAAACAGACAAACAAACAAACAAAATGTGAGCCATTTTGACATTTTCAAGTTATGAAATTCACATGGTTAGATCTGCTTTTTATAATGACGTTAACCCACAAACTACACAAATGTTGTTAATTTTTGAGGGTCTTGAACTCAAAACCATTTAATATCTGCTTCACTAATTTTCTGAAATATTTTAACAATAGATACAATCAAAAACATAATTTGCAGATCAATAAATAATGATTTTTATCATTATTATTCTAATAATCATTGTTATTTTAATTGAATCAACTTCATTGTAACTAGGTCATTATGTTATAATATTTATTATGCATGTATATATGTCAATATCATAAGCTAATGAAACATGTATAAATGATACTTATTTTTTAAATAAAATGATTGTAAAATCTGTAAAATAATGATTGTTAAATTTTAATTGACTCATTGATTTTTCTTTTTCCCTTTTACAGAGCTGGTGTTGTCAGAAACATACCTGGTGCAAGAGCATTTGACAGATCTATAACATAGCATGGGGTGGTTGACGATCCTACTGATACAAACTCAAACATCCTGATTTTATTAATGTAAAACCACATGGCTTCTCCACCAGCTAACGTTATTTTCTCTGTTCCTGCAAAAACAATCCCTGTTCGTACCGCAGTCGTGAATCTGAAATGTATCATATTGTTTTTGGTTAAGCTGATATTAAAGAGATATAGAAAAAAAATTAGCTATTGTATTTTATATATTATCGGCCGTAATCATTTTTTAATTCTGTACTTATATTGTTTCTACAATGTCCTACAATGTTTAACATGAGTCAACTGTACAAAAATAATTAGACATATTTTTCCATCCAAAAACATCGACATTTAACTTTAACATGTCATAAAACTTGTAAAGTAATGACGCCGAAATCAGCATTACTAGCATTACTGTTTTATTAAAGATACCACATTTATGCAAATATATATATCTTAAAACGTCTGCAGAATTTTACTTTTTAATAAAAACATTCTGTAAATTCAAATTGTAATGTTCAAAATACGGTTTTGAACACCTTAAATTGCCCTTATTGTTTCTAGGTGATTTCTAAAATAACTAGTATTAATTACATGTGGCTTCCGTTTCTAATTTGTATTTTATCTAAATTTTAACAATACATTTAGCAAAATAACAATATTTATATTGATAATGCTAAAATGAATAGCAGAGCGATACGTTCCTGCAGAGGACAAAACAGTAACAGCCACTTACTAATAGTTTCTATAATATCACAAATAGCGTTGTGATTTTATATAAAAAGATATTTCTTTTCATTCAAAAAAATTTTTTTCTCCCAATTAAAACAGATGTTTTTTTTATCATTTTAAAACTTTTTACGATACACATCGTATTTTCATTTATGTACTTATATTAGAATACTAGTGGATGTCATTCATATAAGTTGGAATAAATAAAACATGCGTTTCTTTTTGTCAAACAACAAATATAAAGTGATAATTTTCCCCTCTGTTGGCGGACTATTAAACGCTCCTGAAGCTCTCTAAAACCCAATTTTGTAAACTTACCTTTTACATGGTTTTCGAAGTTAATTTAATTTTTTTTAAAGATATACTATGCTCAAATTTGATATCAGGAATATTGGTAATTGCTACACAGTCTCTTTTTAAATATAAAATGTTCTGACTTCACACAAAGTAAATATGTCATGTTTAAAACTTTACACACTATAGGTAGTCACATATAAATATATAGTGTCGTTAAAAAAACTGCACTTTTTTTAAAGAAAAGACCTTTACTTGTCCTATTACAGGGAACGTGGCTTCCAATACATAGAAATTCATTTTTTGTATTCAAATTAGACATATTCAATAAGGATTTCATAGGTTTTAACAAATTTCTTTGATTAAAGTATTTTACTCAAATATGAGCATAGTATATCTTTAAAAATATTTTCATTGATGTACTTGTAAGAATAACAAATGACATTGTAATTTAATGATACTGGTATCAAGCCTGCTAACAACTTACCCAAAGTTATGATACTGGCCGTTACAATCTTGTTGAGATTGAGACAGAAAACCTGATCCATCTGCTGGGAAATATGCATCCGAATAATATCTGAAATAATTTAACATTTTTTCTCTCCCTTTCCCTCAAGAATTAGTTATGTTTCACGTTGTATAACTCTCATTAATTATCATAATAATTATTAACATTAACAGAACTCTTATTAAAATGTGCATCATCTAAACTTTTACTTATATGCAAGAAAAATGCAACCATTGTTTGCCATGCAAACTATTTGATAAGATTACCAGATAAATTATTTGAATTATTCCAAAATTGCCTAACAAAACAATTTTATTATTAAATGTTATTATTAATGAGAAAAGAACAACTAAGATATTTAGAGTGCTATGTTTGGTGTGCCATAAATCAATTATACTATTAAATGCTATACAAAAATAATAGATTGCGATTTATAAGCAGTATGAATATTATTTCAACAAAATTGTCGACCTTTTAATTGTCCCTGTTTGTTCTCTTAGAATGAGAGACCCATTTATTTCAATATTATTATTATTCACATCATCTTCTCTATACCATGTTGAAAATGTATCACTAGTGGGTGTGCTTGATGCAGAAAGCCAAGCCCCATATGGACTATCGACGTAGCTTGGATTGGATATTGTGATATATTCCAAGTCATCAAAGTCCGCGTGAAGTTTACTAAAGTCGTAAAACTTTGCAATAATTTCTATATCATTTGGACCAGCTGGTGTAATTGTTCCTGAATAAAAGAAGATTTCTAATTAATAACGCGATACTGATCATTCACTGACGCTTGTCCAGTTTTATTTATTAACTTTTATACCGAAGAATATGAACGTAACATGATACATATTGATTGGGTGTTTATTGTTAATTGTGAACAAAATATAACCACACAACTGAGACGACACTTCAAAAGCCATCAAACAGATTTAACGGTCATAGAATGATCTTTTTAAATGTCTTAGTATTCAAGTACTTAACCTGTTCCATCAGGTGTGACGAATACTGCCGGCGGACTCTTTGCGCTGTCTTGACCATCTATTGTAGTTTTCACGGAGCACTCGTAGGCTGTTCCAGGTAGCACTCCGTCAGCCTCCGCGAATGTTACATTAAATGAAGTAGATCCATTTACAGCTTCATCGTCGGCCACCAGGTCGGTTAATGTTGTTCCAGAAGCACTGCTGCATATAACTGTGTACTCCCTAAAGTTTAGAAATAAAATTCTCATTACTTTAATTGAAATATTTCGATGTCTTTCTTTATAGTATCTAAATATGTGACATGTTTATACATTTAATTACATTTCCTTTTTTTCAACATTTCGACACTAACATGCGATTATTTCATCTGCAGATAAATAAAAATGATAAATTTTGCTGAAGCAATTGCTGAATGGTACTTTCCATAATCCACTGTCGTAAATTAATTTTGTTCAATCGGACGAATACTTCTGCTGACTTTAAAAAATATTTGCAATGTACAAATTTTAATCAAGTTAACAATATTAAAGAACCTGTATTATCTTCAAAAATAAATTCACGAGTACTGTCCAATTTGAAATTTCTGCATGGGCTTATATCAAGCAATTCATTTGGTTTAAAACTCCACAAAAATATGTGCATTTCACAGCGGACTGTTTAAGCAAAGTATTGTAACCTTATACTTTTGCTCACATGCCGACATGCTTTCAATTAGACATAATTAAGCTTGTTCAAAAGTTTGTCCTTTTTATTTAGTAATAATATCTTTTTTCGCTTATTTTGGAATCAAACATTCATACACAGGTCCGGTCAGGTAAGGAAACTCTACACTGTCATTCAATGTGAAATAAGTATATTCAGGCTGGTCCCATGTCAATGTGAACTCAGTTTGAGTGACACCGCTACTAACAACATTTTCACCACCTGTAATAAAAAAGATGTGACATAGGTGGTAAGAAACGCAAAGGTATGTTCGTTTTGTAAATAATCATGTGTGCTTGGGTATACTTTTACAAGTTTTGATATTAATAAAATTTTCCTTTGCATTTCAAATGTGTATATAACCAGGAGTTCAGATGAGTTTTGGGGTGTCTTGAATTTAGGTTTTTACATGACATTCCTAAAGAAAATGAAGTAGAATTTCATGTTACTTCACAAACCCTTTGCAGTATAGTTCCATATCGTCATAGTCATCTTGAACTTTATGAATTTAAAATGATCAAACTTAAGACAATAGTAAGAATGCATCTGCCTGTTATAATCAGGAAACTTTGCAATAAGTATGTTTAAACTAAACTATATCATACATTTATTTATCACACACCCGTGCCGATTTTGCGACTCTGTAAATATGGTATTGCACGGCCGTGCATATATTTCGACGTGACGTCATTAGCGTTATACAAGCATAGTGTAAAGACGCGCTAAATGTTACCGTTATACTATAGGCGTGTCAGTGAAAATGACTCTTATTTCACTTTATACGGTCTTTTGGGTATGTGATAAATAGAATATTAAATTCGTGTAAGTTCATTACTGAATTTATTGCACTCGTTAACTAAAATAATATTATGCTCGTCACAGGCTCGCATAATATTATTTTATTCCACTCGTGCAATAAATACAGTATTTAACTTACACTCATTCAATATCCTCTATTTCTTCCCTTCGTTAACACTAAGACAAACTCACTGCATTGGAAGAAGGTGTTATTAACTGAGAGAAAGTAGCTTGGTGAATCTGATGAACCAGCTGCAAACGTGGCACCATTAGCAAGGTCGTTATGACTGCATGTTCCTGAAGTCACAGATGAAGCTATGGGTTCCAATGCTGATACCAACTGACACGAGCATTCTAATGGATTGTTTCCCAAGTTTCTGTTTCGGTTATAAAAAATGCTTTGGGTTATGTCAAATAATACATAGTCATGCGTACATTAATTGCATTGAAAAAGGCTACGACTGCAGTCAAATCAATAACACTATGAGATTATATTAATTTTGTCAGAACAAAATGAATGACTTAATGACACCAGAAATAGTAATAAGTGTCAGTTGTAGAAATTGACAATATTGTTCTTATCGTGACTAAAAAGCATTAGCAAATTAAGTGAATGTTGTTTTTTTTTAACTCATTATCAAACATAAGTTTGTTTTTCACTCAATTTTATATTCGTCAGCATTTATATTACTGTTATGAAATTAAACAAATATTTTATATGTATGAAAAAGAATACTTACAATTCTTCAAGTCTAGTTAGACCACTAAAGGCTGAATTAGCCAAAGTTCCAATACTGTTACTACCAACATTGACTATCTGAAGGTTTAGTTTATCACCAAGAGAATGTAAGTGCGTCATTGAGTTATCTGACAAATACAGCTCCTCCAGGATTGTCATGTTTGAAAAAAGTCCTTCAGGTAGTGTGTTCAAGTTGTTGCTAGCAATTGACCTGTTCATTAAGAATTCAGTTTTATTATGTATAGACGTATTTACAGCATTGTAATAAATTTGATTATTTGATTTTATTGTAAAAAGTGTTAACAAAATATAATGTAAATGTATTAATTATACATAAAAAATTAATTTCAAGATTTTATTATTATTTTTATTATGAACAAACACATAAATTGTTTAAATGGTAATAAGTCATGGCTCTCCAAATTTTCCTAAATTATTTATATATCTAATAAAAGAATAATGCAAAGAAATAATATTCAAATCTGAAAGAAATTTAACAAAGTTTCAATCTGAAAATAAGAGCACCGTTAACAAAATAACTCACAGAATACGCATGGCTCCCAAATCATCAAAAACACCATTCTCTAGGTATTCTAGTTGATTATTAGCCAAATATAGTTCTCCAAGAACAGTTTGTCCAGCAAGATAGCCTGTCGGAATCTCTGTTATATCGTTATCTGTCAAATCTCTTCGAAATAAAACAAATGTCAGGCATTTAGTAAACTTTATTAATAATAGACAACTTGTTGTATACATGCCTATTTGTAGTTCCATCAAACACTTATAATTTTCAGTACAAACTGAAAGACAGGTAGAATAAGTCTGAATAACGACAAAAATCAATATGCCATTGATATACCTTCCAGTATGGGTACATAACAAAACCTCAACATATATATTATGTTTAAAAAAAACATTTTTTAAATTTTCGAAGTAATGTGAAATTATTTCATAAATGAAACAACTAACTTAAGGAACATTGATATGGTTAAAAATTGTCCCGTTCTTCACTTCAGTGTTGTTATATATTTCTGACCCATCGGGATAATTGAGTCCAGCACTTTTAAGTGTTGAGAATTGACACGGATTTATTTTGTAATAAAAACCCGTGGAATTGAGTAGCGTTCAAACCGGTGCTAGGGGGCATGAGGGATGTTGCACTTTTTCATTATCCCTCAAGTGCAGACACAATCAAACCGAGTCTGCAATTTTCATGTAATTTTGTTGTTTTTAATGCTTCCGAGGGATATTTTTTCCAAATATTGATATAAGTAGAGCATTAATTATAAAGTAATATATACTGTACTTGTTAAGTTTTTTTAATGCAAACAATTATGTAGGACATTTAGAAACATTACAAAATATATATGGGATAATAAGTAATACTTACATTATCTCGAAAAGCTTCGTTTGGATCACTTGTGGAAACAATGTGAAAGCGTTGTTTCCGAGATAAATATTTTTCATGCCGCAGTTTTCAAATGCATCAAAACTTATACCGTACATCCCGTTCCCGTTCAAAAAGAAATTGTTGGATACGTACGAAGTTCCTCCAAACATAGTACTTCCAATGATGGATAACTGATTGCCACTTAGGTCGCTAAAATGTTTACATGAAACGAATATAAAGTATTGGCATGGTAAGAATATTTCTTACTTAGCTGTTCAAACAAAAAATATCAAAATTTCAAAAGGAGTGGTGAAAACTGACGTGACTGTTATTATTAAAAATATTATTCATATCTTAAATGGATATATATTTAAGTTGTGTGCAAACAGGTTACCTCTTGTCTCTATAATCAAACTATTTTCTGACAGGCAATATCAATACCGAAAAGTAGCATTTTTAGTCGGAATATAAATTAATAACCTTTTGAGTAAGTTTTTTTTTTTAACTGGTCTTATAAGATTTATAACTGGTATTGTAAGATGTTTATAAAACACAAGACTGACTGTATTTACTCACAGATTAGTAACCTGGAAATCGTTGAAAGCAGTTTCTTCTATGTCTGATATTATACCAGAACCTAAGTAAACATTTGCGGCCGTTACCGAAACAAATGACATCGTAGGTATGGTTGTAAAAGATAAACCTTGCATGTTTATATTGTCTGAAATTTGTAGGTTATGCAAGGAGTACGAATTCAGTTTACTCAAAGGATTGTTTGTAAGATGAAGATTCGAGGCTGTTAAACCGTTGAATGCATAACTCTCAATTTCTGTTATCTGGTTCCCAGATAAATCGCTAGAAAAGGAAAAAATAAACTTTTTATTACCTTATTAATATATCAAATTTATTTCATCAGTTAGATTGAACGTAAACTTTGATAAGAATCAATTTGCAACATCTCGCAAATCATGTCAAAAATAGTTTTCTTATACTTATGAAAATGAAGTTTTGATTCATGATGTAAGTAAACGGATCTAAAGGTGTAATGTTGAACTTTTGATGGATTTAAGATTATTAAAACAAAATGAATTATATTGTATATAGTTTTTTAATGTTGGAATATTCATTTGATAATATTTTCCGACTACACAAATATACTTACAACGAATCTCCAAGAACTAAGTTTTTGAAATTATCTGTTTTGAGAATATTGATTCTGTTGTTGGACAGGTCCAGCCAGAGTGTAACAGTAAGGTCGTGAAAATCGCCTCCATTTGGTAATAAAGTCAGCTTATTATTTGAAAGATCGCTGAAATAATTTTGATTCAAAATTATTACATATCTTTTACTATCTTTAAATGTTGCGCAATAATATTCTGTCTTAGATGTAATGTAAGAATCAATAATTTGACATTAAAAAGGACAATTTTGCCTTAATTTAAGAGTAGCGAAATATTTTTAATTGATGTTTAGGTTAAAGAACGAATTCAGGGTACAAGGAATATCTTAATAAATTATCTCACAGAAGGATTTTTACCTCCATATAGGATTAGTTTAAAAATGATCCGCTGTATGCCTTAATGATTAATGGAAAGATAATAAATCATCAAAAGTGATGAAAAAGTGAAATTTTAATAACCTTAAAGCACAATCAGTATATCATTGATGGAAAACACGTTTTTAAGAATGAAATAGCAAGGTAAATACAAACAACAATGCGAAAATTATAAATTACAATATGGAACTGGTATCAAAAAAATCATGCACATACAAAAGTTTCATGGATGATATATGTGCAAATGTACCATCCTCTATCCATCCGATATCATTGTTTGCGGCAGAAAAATTGCCTTCCAATGGTGCGTCTTCAAGGAAGTTTTTCTTCAACTGAGCAATGTTGTTATTGTTTATATATCTGTAATGCATGTAGATAAAATAATTAAATATTTTTATAACCAAAGTTCAACTTAGGCCATAGTGGTAAACATTTTTGTTTATGGAGGACTCTAATGTTATGAATCATCAAAATTTACGTTTTAAAATAATTCGAGTCAATTTTTGACACATGGATGTTAGACTTCCAAAAACTATTTAAGTTATAAATAAATTTAATTATACCATTATAAGAAACTCTGTAACTAATAAGATAAAATTGATGAAAAGTAAAATTGAAAGTACAAATTTAATGTGTTTAAGGAGAAGTGCAAAAGGACTTTGAAAGCAAATATCCGGTAACATATTTGTATATTTAAAACACTTTTATACTCTGTGTCATTTAATTATTAATACTTTTCTAACTTTGCAATTCAAGAATGTATTATATTCTACTAGTTTTTTGTCCATCTGTACAGATTACAAATAAAGACAAGTAATTTAATATTTAGGTCTGTTTGTTTTCCCTTTTAGATTAGATAAAAATAAAAATGATTATACTTACAAATAATCCAAAGATGCACATCCCATAAATGCATAGTCTGGAATGTATTGTATTTCGTTACTATGTAGCGTTAAGATATACAAATTGGTCAGGTTTTGAAAAGGGTACTTGTGAAGAAATCGGAATTCGTTGTTGTTCAGTCTCCTGAAAATGATAATTTATTTATTTATTTATTTTTTATACAACAAGTCAATCGTTAGCAAACGCTGTTCGTGTTTTTTATTGAAAGTGCATGTGATCACATGTTTTTGCATCTTTCATTTCTTAAACATGATTTTGCATTTAATTGGATTAATCTGGTTAATATATATTTGGTAATCTAATAGATTTTTCTCCCCTTTGCCTTTGGCGTTACAAAAGTAATAATGTGACGTCAATTCTAAATTCTAACACGACCCGCATTTTTCCCTATTGAACATGGAACAACCGAAAGTATGTGTTATTATGCTATAAAACCACTGTTTGACGTTCTATATTTAGACATGTGACATATTAATTATACACTTGACGTAACCACTAAAATGTGACGCGTTGACAATAAGTAAGGAAAAAAACAGGCGCAATGTAGCTTAATATCAGGTACGGCAGCATTTATTTGTTGATGTCGTGTTAGAATCGAAATAATAATTCCAAATGGGTGATTTTTTTGCTTGATAAAATCACTGTTTTATCGTTGGGATGCGTATCGTTATATCACTCGGGCTCTATTGTAATAGAGTTAGTAAGCGAACAGCATGGATCCTGATCAGACTGGTCTGGATCCAAGCTGGTCACAAACGCACTATGTTGTTTTTGTCGTGATGCGGCTCATATATTTATATAGAGCAAGAACCACTTACACAGTGGATAAACTAAATTCATTTACCATGTCTATAATGCCCGTAAATTGTCTGACAATTACAGTGATCACTGTAGCTTTCTTGTAAAAATAAATTATGAACTCGTATAAGTACATATATACATGTCAGCTGTTTTTTGTTGTTGTTTTTTTAATTTATACCAGACGCAAATTTTATCGGTTAATTACGTGTTCTAAATTAATTATCAGAAAAATGGTTCATTACATTGAAATGCCGTTTTTATGTGCTCATGCTAAAAAGGTGAACAATTATATACAAGTATAAACATTCATAAAAAGGTTGTCACTTTTTTAGTAAAATAAAAGCACAATATAATATAATGTAAAAGCTAAAGACTTACAAATGGAATACGCTTGTTGGAAACACATCGTTTTCTATAGCAAGGATGTTGTTGTAAGTGATGTACCTGGTATATTAAATATAAACAAAATTTGAACATGAAAAAAACTTTTGAAAAGAATTACAAAAGGCATGCTCAAATGCAAACTTTGTAATTTTTTGGTATTTAAAAAATCACAAGTTATCAAAGTTAGTTTTCTTTTTTGGTACTGAACACGCATGTAAAATTGTTATAAATGTCAAAGCGCTTTTAACAATGTTTGACAGTGTGCTTGATTTTAACAATTCAGACAATTTTGTTTTTCTCCAGGTAACGGTGCATTTTGCAGTGAATACAGCGTCGAACTTTTGGTGCTGCTACACTGAAGACACATTGACATTTAACTCGGTCTTGTCAAATAATACTGGCATCGGGCTGACAAGTGTAAGAAATAAATCTATTTCCATGATGCTGCTTGCATATGAAGCATTATATTCTTTCGGTATAACCAGGCATGTCTCTAAGCAAGCATTCGATACTACTACTTCTACTACATGCAAGAACACCTATAAGTAGTCATTGCAGACGACGAGAGTCAAACTTAAGATATTTAAATTGTAAGAAAAATTCGATGGTGTCAGCAATTATGACATGGAAATACTTAAATATTATTATGTTGTCACTTTTATAAATAAACTATGCTATTTCCAGGTATAAGTTAATGGTTTATCTACTTACAGATGTTTAACTGTGGTTAAATTCGTGAATGCACCACTTTCCAGAAATGTAATCTTGTTGCCATTGAGTATAAGTACCCCTATGAAAGGGAGCACATCTGAAGATTTGACACAATCTGGCACGTACTGTATCAAATTAGCTGCTAGTTGTCTGCAATAAAATCATTCTTCTGTTATAAAGTACCGGCTAAAATTGGTCAAACTTTGCAAGATAGCTATACCACTGAACGCATGAAGGAGTGTTAGCTTTAAACGCAATTGCTTAAGTTCATTTGAGAGAAGATTTAGATGAACAGTATGAAGGCTGGTTAAAAGGTAAAGTGCCTGACAGTTACAAATTTGAATTATAAGAGGGCGTTTTCAATATATATAAATACTCTACTGCGGCATGATTCTGGAAATAGAGACCTCTCTACACACTCGGTTTTTTAGTATGTACATTATAGAAAGTGAAGCATCTCAAACACCAATAAGCAGTATTCGACCTTCAAAACAAAAGTTTTGGATCAAATATCTAAAAACACACCATAAAATAACAACAGTAAGATTTCCTAAAAGGCCAACCCTTTCAAATGTCACACAGAAATGGCATTTGCTGTAATGAGTAAAAGGCGTATAAGACGTATGGAAATTGAAGATTAATTGATAGCGAACAGAATATGCCCCCTTTTAGTGTCACGGTTTAGAATTGCAAAACAATGATTCTATATAGGGAAGAAGATTTTGTAAGCGACCTCATAGCTCAGAATGTAGAGCCACGGAATAATATTCCGAGGGTCCCGGGTTCGAGTACCGGCCAGGTTGCACATTTTTCTCACTCTGTGACATTAGCAATACCTGTCTATTTCGTAATGCTCATTTGAAGTCTTTACACAAAAATGTTACCTTTATAACATAAATTTACCAAATAACATATGCTATGTCTTGCTAAACTATGATAGTCAAAAATAATAATATACATATGGAAGCCTTGTGTAAAATTTTTCTATACTAAACTGGAAGCTCATCAGATATTATCAATAGTACCTGATATAAAGCATAATATATACGAAAAAGTATTGAAAATTCCGCATTGCATCACTGTATATGTAGTTAACCAAGAAAGACAAGAATAAAGATCAACAATGCAAAGGCAACGTTCACAGGACGCAGCCCCCGACACACCCAAGTAGGGCACCCAGAAGGCACCAAACCAAAACCTGGAGAGGACATAAGGGAGGTGAAAGAAGAGGGACATGTAATGTGTGAAATAATATAAAATAAACGGGCCCATACGGGAATTAAGACGGTTGCATTATTATGAAACATCAACAGTACTTTGATAAACAATGAATGGTTGAGATCCACAGTCTTGAACAAACCTACACAAAAATACATGCAATAACATACGATATAAGCGTTAAAGGTGTGTCTTTTTTACATCAACTGAATGTAATTAAACTCATGAATTAAGCACTAAATAGTAAATAAAATATTATTTAAACTCATTAGGAACAAACATGCAGAAAAATGTATCTTACAGATAGTAAAGTACTGGAAGACACGCGAAACAGTCAACATCCATCTTGGATTCTCGTAAAAGATTGTTCTGTAAGTACAGCTCTTGTAGATCTTGTAACTCACATAAATCCGTTGTGTTGATAGTTGTTATTAAATTGTGGTGTAGATTACTGAAAAATTAAAAACAAAACATTCTTTATAATAACAATAAAATGATAATTGATATTTGTCAGTGGTCTACAAGACTACAATGAAGCCAACAGATAAATAACAAAATCTTTTTTCCGTAGAAATGTCCTAAATTTAAATTGCCTTAAAATTTCATTTGTGCCCCTTAAGAATAAATTATGGTGTCCAATGCACTAATAATTTCTTTATTTACATGCATCGTACTTCATCAATTTAAAGATAACGGTGAAGATGCAAGTTATAAAATGAAAAGTTTAGAAGAATCAAAACTGAATTTATGATGGCAAAATTAATTACAATGACATACAATGTCAGTTTAATAAGAATATAATAACAAGTTAACTGACAAACATGAAAGCATTTTTAAGAAAATAATTTAATAGCAAGTAAAGTGTATATGAAATACTGATGTAAAATTAAATAAATAAAGAAATAAATGAATAGATAGATAAATAAATAAAAATACATCCTTTCAGTTATGAGATGTCGTTAAAAATCAATTTTATAAATAAGAAAGAAATAACAAATGAGTATAAGTAACGGCCAGTCGGTCAATCAATCAATTAAGCAGTAAACTAATTGACCTTTCTGTCTGATTTAATTGATAAGTCAAATTAGCCAATCACATAACAGCATTAATACACGTCTTTGTTGGCTACTTTGTTGGACATGTGATTTGGGGAGTTTTTGGATTTCTTTAGCGAAATTTTGTTATAATAAGAATCATTGTTACGTGACGTAGATTCGGGGTAGGTAAAAGCGACTTACAGATATTGTGTTGCGGGAATGGCTGAGAACGGTACAAACGTCGTGAGTCTTTGTCTGTGTAGAGAATACTGATTTTCTGGGAACGCTTCTTCTCCATATTTTGTTATGTTTGTTATTAGATTATTATCGGCATGCCTATATTGCAAAAATAATATAGAGTTATGATGGAAGTAATATCAGAATGGTTGCTTTGATGATATTTTGTTGTATTAATGCACTTTCGATAATACTTATCATATCATAAATGTACATACATTTTGTAAAACAAATATATAAGTGCATTTACATTTACTTTTAAATATAGTTTATTTTATAAATGCATCTTAGTTTATAATATTTCGTTTTCAAATGCATCTAAATCCGACACTTAAGCACGACATAATTGGTGTGTATTTGGTATTTCAGTTCCTCCAATTGGATCTTTTTCTTGTTGGCTAGTTTCAGTATTCTTACTTTTCATATTTTAGTTATATAAATGCCAGCGTTTCATTTTATCATTTGATATATGATTTTTAAACTAACAATATATGAGTAAACTATATAATTAAACCAAGCTATTTGAAAGTAAAATGTGTCATATCTGCTGATTCAAATTTCAAAAAATACGACCATGATTAATTGAAAGAAAGTAAATGAACAAAACTTACATCACTACTAGATTAGGATAAGTTGACTCTGAAAGAACTTGGTGTGGAAATGTCGCCAAATTGTTACTACTAACAAATCTGAAAAATAAATGCTAACTACAAATCAACAAATACATATTATGATTATGGTTTATATTAGCGATGTATAAGTTATGAAATAATGTAACTGCACCATTTCCTTCTATTGACTTAGACCGAAGTCTTCAAGGGACTCCACTGGGGTTTTTTTTCACATGAAGGGACTTGATATACCTTTTTACGAGACTTATGTAACATTTGATATAGGTCTTGAGTAGTAGCTAGTGTACAGAATTTGAAATCAAAATCTCATTTGGTTTTCCAAGAATAATTGTACAAAATGACAAAAAATGAAAAGCATTATAAGGCGTTTCACTCAAAACGGGCTAAATTCGAGCCAAAATCGATTTTCAACAAAACTCTTGAGTATATTTCTTACTATCTTTTGCAGATTATTCTAATTCAAGTGCATCATTTCAAATTTTATGTTTGTATAGGCATTTTGTGCCAATGAGAGTTTAATAAGAAAGTAAAGTTGAAAACACCGGTTTATATAAAACCATACTTACAACTCTATGAGATTATCAATACCAGACCAAGCATTGTAAGCAATTGACTCCATGGGTGTTTTCTGGGAATGCAGTCGTAGCTCTTTGAGCAATGAAATGTTCTCGATTGCTTTACTTGTAAGGTGCTGTATGTTGTTGGCGTGCAGGTCACTTTAAAAAAGATGAACACATTTTGGAATCCACGTTTATTTTAAGTACTAGTAATTGAAAAACTGTGATAACAAAATCAAAGCATTGTGTATTCAACAAATACTGGGCAGGTTACTACTTTGTATAATTTGTTTGTATGTCTGTTTTTTATGCCAATTTTTACACAAGCTTTGGTTATTCCTTGGCGGTTGATCCACCTAATTGTCTTTCCTTGATAACTAACAAGTAAAATCAAATTTCTCCGCAGGTGACCGACTACTAATCCCATATGATTTCTGAACCAAATGACCTTTGCTCTCAATGTCTGAGATCAATTGTCAAAGCCTCGGCTGCAGATCGAAAAAACGATCCCTGGAATACTAACCCAATGCTCTTCATATTAGGCTTAGCGAGCGGACACTTTGTATTAGAAAGGCAGTTGAGAGATATAGAGACGTGTTTATAATTATCCTTAAATCTTATAAAAAAATTAATAAGCGGGTGGTATAGATGTTTGCTAAGTAACATACCAACACTGATTTGCAATTTATCAGCGTAAATAAATATTTTTTATTATTTCAACCAGAGGTTTTGTATGTTATTTCAAAATAACAATTACAAATTTCTACTGATAAATATAATATAAAACAATAAGATTATAAATATAAATAAGAATGAAGCGATATTTGTATCACCCCTTTACGTACAGATGAACAAGGGCAGGTAAATCTTTGAAGATGTTTACATTTATTGTGCTCAATGAATTCTGGTGAAGTTCTCTGAAGATAAAATAAACATAAACATTATCTTTACACAAGTTTTTTTTCCACATAAAATAATAATAGTACATGAATATATATTTTAAAAATCATGACTTATTCTTTGATTTTTCACTTTATAAGTTCTTCTGGCATTGTTTCCTGTTTAAAGCAACGATATATTTTACATTGTACATTTCTTTTTTTTTAATGTTATTTTGATTTAATATCTAAAGACCTTACATTGCTAGAAAAGTTAAAGTCTACTTTAACATTTGTATAATTATTTGATTATAGTAACCTTTAAACGTTTGCATTTACGACAAATGATTAGGAAACAATATATATATCTTTTGTCATACCTTAACAAATTTAAACTCGTTATATACTGTGACGTGATTACTTTTCTTTAATTAGCTGAATAGGAAATCTAACTTACAATATTTTCAATGATGGAAATTGACTAAATGAGCCTCCTTGAATGTAAGACAATTGATTATTACTCAAGTTCCTGCAAGACAAGATAAACTTATTTTAATATTAGTATACATTTGTACCTAGTTTGGTACCCATATTTTTAAGTAAAGAACAAAATATTACATCGTATTCTTTCGAAAGACGTTTCTATTCATAATATCCATGATAACTTGTAACACCTTAACATTCAACGACACGACTACTCAACGCACACCTTATTATATATCTGCTAATTTTCAAAATGACAATAACAGGCGATTCTATATCCAAACTCCATTATAACTTGTTACACCTAAATGGTTACTTTTTGCATATCTTCAGCACCATCGGTTCTTTAAAGAAAATGTGTTCGATTTACGATACTATTTCTATTGTATGGACAAAATGAAGAATTAAACTAATGAGACTTTAAAACTTGAAATATGTGCTGTGGATTTTAAATTTGATACGTATTGTCATTTTAAACATTTACGCCATTAAAATACTGTACAGTGTAATACGGGTATGTCGATTCGGCACAAAAAACAGAAACGAGGGTTAAAGA